AAAGAGTGGGGCCCTCTGCCCAAGGAGCTGTGCCATTCCTGCGGGAAGGGGAGGCCATGGGGACACAGTGAGAAGCCTCCTCGTGTCTGCTGGAGCGGCCGGGCTGCTTACGTGGGCTCTGTGGGACTCTGCTGCCCAGGATGAGTGAGGCTGTGGAGAATGGTGCTCAGCTCAGAGATGAGTTTCGGTTCCGCTGATTTTCGGTGTTAAAAATTGCCAAATCTCCATTGCTGAGCATAAAATGGGAGCAAAGCACAGCGATTAGCATCGCTATAAGGCTACTGGAGAGGCAGCTCACAGAGAAACCAGAGTGCTGAGGATGGACCTGTACTGGAGAGGGCTGAGGAAGCCTGGATTGGAGAAAGGGCTCTCTTACAGCTTGGAAGGGAGTCAGTCTCTGTTGTAGCTCCCTAGTCCTAGTAGAAGTGATATGTCTCTTATGATTTCCTTCTCATTTGATCTTGTCCTGTCGTACCCTGGATGAGTCTTTCATCCCTTTCACATAACAGGAATGATCCTATTTCTGACTCCATGTTTCACCAGAGACAGATGTCTCCATGTGAAGTGTCTGTCCCATCCAACATACGTTGGTTTCTGTCATGATCTCTCTCCCATCTCCTACATGTAGCTCATGATTTATCACAGCCCACATCTCTGTTATAAAACTCCCTCCAAAATGAGATGAATCTTTGTCTCTGTTGGTCCCCCATCCTTTCCAAATTGAATTATTGTATTACAAAACCTAGTCCTACTCGGTGGGAATTGGCCTTCCTGATATTTCCTTACTAGGAAAAAAGTGTTTTTCTGGTAGAAGCATTGCCAGAAGTGCATCTCTGTCCCTGCAACAGCCTTCTGACACAGTTCAATCTCACTGCAGTGCTTCCTGCCATGTTCCAGGTGTCCCTACCTCTGTTGCGCCATCCCACATCTCTTATAGCCTACTCAACCCCTCGAGATGAGTCCATTATAAATGCCCTGCCCCACCCAAAGTGAATCTTTCCCTGTGATAAACCATCTCATCACCCACCTGGTTTGTTGGGGGGGTTTTCCCCTGTTATCCCTCAATTCAAATGAGGTGTATTTATCTCAGTTATAACCCCTTGTTATCTGAAGTGAGTGAGTCTCCTGCTATTAGCATCTGTCACATCCAAGGTGAGTTTGTCTGTGATAACCTCCTGTCCCAGCTGAAGTGAATCTTCCTTTGTCATAATCCCTCGTCTCATCTGAGGCATGTCTGCTCATTATAATCTTCTCCAACTGTGCTGAGTATCCTTCTGCTGTCACCTCTTGGCCTAACTTTGGTGAGACTGGTTATAATCTCCTGTCTCTCCATGCTGATACACCTCCATACCCTCCATACTGAATCTCTACCTACTGTGCTTCATCAGACACAAATCTGACTGTCTTATCACCTTGTCTAACCTAAGATCAGGTTCTCCTTCTTGCACTGCAATTACCTTCCTGCTTTTTCACTGTTATTCCTCATACTTCAGCCTTTCTTGGTGGCTTCCTGTCTGTGAATCTCAGTCTTGCTGTCTGTCAGGAATGTGGTTGAGGAATCTGTATGGACCTTTTCCCTCCTCCATGCAATTGTGAGGTGCTCATGGGCAGACAATGCTCCCAGGAGCGGCATTCGCTGTGCAACAGCCAGAACGATGCCACTCTGCTGCTTCATCTTTTAGCTTGTGGATGGTGCCAAGATGGGTATTTTCCTGGCGCAGCTAATGCCCAACTGGTGGCCCAGAGTTCTAACTGAGCCTGCTGCCTTCTGGCTATGAGATATATCCGTTTATAGGTGATTATACGATATGATATAATCAATAGTACATTATATACAGTAACGTAGTATGGTACCACTCACAAGACCATAGAAAATATTACATATTGATTTGTCCCAGCCAGCAGCCTTCGCTCAAGCAACCCCTTCTCTCCTTCTTTTCCACCCCTAGCCAGAGCAGGGCTGTTTACTGGCACTGATCTCTGGCATTTTCTCCTTTCCTCAGGCTTATTTGCACAAGGGAAAATTCTCAAGTTCCTGAAGGCTGGAGTTCATGACTGATTTGACTAAAAGAAAACAAAGCAAATACCAGGTTTGGTCGACTGCACACTGTGTGTGTCAGTGCAGTTTTTGTGTTTGAGATGGACTGGGCTGTTACTACAGGGGGTGGCTTTCAGGAGGACTAGGGTCACTCGAGGCTTATGCTCCCAGTTCCAGTAGGCACTTCTCTCTGGTCTTCCTTGCGGAAAGCTGGCCTAGAGCTCCTGGGTCCAGGCTCAGGAAAAAAAAAGTGTGTTTCTGTATCAGCACTTATCTCAACCTGTCTGCAGCCTGTGAAGCTGTTTGCCTTGGAGGAATTTTCCACGTGTCAGTCAGTGTGCATGACTGTGCACACCATGTTGCTAATACACATGGGTATTTTTGCAGTAGATCTTTATTCTGGTATTCTTTAGATTCTGCATCACCATACATGCCTGAGCAGCCGTTTGTCTGCAGTGGCTGGCTTAGGATATATTTGATTTTCGAGGATGGCAGCTCTACGCTATGCGTCATGTTTGGTGTACATGGATGGGTGTTCACCTATACAGTTGTCCTTGTTTCAGCTGGGGCAGAGTTGATTTTCTTCCTAGTAGCTGGTACTTAGTTGCTGGTTGGGGTTAAACCACATAAATGGTAAAACTTCTGTTGGCTGTCATTAAACCAGGTTTTACCCTTAGTGAGTTGCCCTGGGTGGTTACACAGAATAGTGAACACATGGACATGTATTTGCAGTTCCTGTCTGCCTGCAGAGCCCTGTGCACGCGTGTCTCCCATATGTGCACAGGCCATGCCTTTGTGTGAAGAAGCTGAAACCACAGCTTTCCCAAGTCACTGTAGGAGTCTCTTTTCCTTCATTTATTCAGGGGCCCTTCAGATCTTGACAAATCTGTCACTCTAAATTTGCGAGAGATTATGGTGCTCTCTCCCTAGCACAGAGAGAGGTGATATATGATATCTGCTGCCCCTATTGATTGCCTGATCTGGTGGCAGAGGGCTGGCGAAATGAACTTGAAATGAACATCATGCCTCAACTCATTGTGCGTATAATACACTGCTTAATCCCACATTTTTCAGCCGCTATGGAATTCAATTGATCAATCATGTCCCTCTGATAGTACTGTTTTAGGGGTTATTGCTGCTCTGCTCACTGACCTTTTTATTTATTTATTTATTTGTGTCAGCGTGTATGTGCGCGCGCACATAACTGTATATGTGTATTTGGGAAACTCAGGACCAGGTGATAAGAAAGGACCTGTATAGTCAGTGGGGAATGAAAGAAAAGGATGAAGGGAGGAGAAAGAGAAGGAATGGGGTTAGATAAGAAATCAGAACTACCAAAGTAAGCAAATAGATATGGAGAGGTAGAAAAGTAAGAAGAAAGGCAATACTTTAGTTTAGGTAGGATTTCTCTATATGGGATGGGAGGGGCACTCTGCCATGGCCTAGGCTTTAAAATCTACAAAAGAAAAAAAATTTTTGACAGAGGCCTGTAGGCTACCTTGAGGTGGTCCTTCTCTAAACAGCTTGCAGTAGTATTGGACTTAATAATGGTAAGGCACACAAATCCCAAACTTCACAGAACAATAATATGAACTATGCATATGGATTTTACTTATGAAGCAGAGAAAGTTTCACAGAGATGATCCTGAAAGACAGATTTATATGTCTTGTGTTGCTAACGCTGAGACGTTCATAGTCATGGATCATTATGTTTTCTTCAAAACGAAAGAATTGTAAATCCCCTGTTTGTTTTATGGTGTCAAAAACCTATAGAGGATCCATTTTCATTTTTTCCCTAAAACTGCAAGGAACAGACAATTATATCATAGAATCATTAAGGCTGGAAAAGACCTCTAAGATCATCAAGTCCAACCATCAACCCACCACTAAACCAGGTCCCTAAGTGCCACATCTACATTTTTTTTGAACACCTCCAGGGATGGTGACTCCACCATCTTCCTGGGGAGCCTGTTCCTATGCTTGACCAGTCTTTCAGTGATGCAATTTTTCCTGATATCCAATGTAAACCTCCTCTGGTGCAACTTGAAGCCATTTCCTCTCATCCTATCGCTTGTTACTTGGGAGAAGGTTATATCTGGTTTTAGGTCAAAGTTGCAATTCTCATCTAAGCACATGACTGAGCTGGACTATTAGGAGAAGCCTCAAATATCATAATACACAAAGTATGGGAGCTGACAACTGCATGGATATGAGCAAAGGTGGCAGTAAGGAGCAGAGAAGACTTTGGAGAAGAGATGGGGTCCATCAAAGGGCTGTGGGTGAAAGTGAAAAGAGGGCTCGTGGGAAAAATTTGGGTTGGGAAAGACTATCAGATCCCATGAGGAATGGCACTGTGATGGGCAACAGTCACTTCAACTGTTGAACAACAGTGCTAGGAGTAAAAGCTTAAGAGATGGGGATTTGCCAAGAAAGCAGCTCTTGGAAGTGGTGCTGTGGTGAAGCAGAGCTTCAGCTGAAGGATGAGTCTAGGGATGCTAGTAACTGTGCTAGCTGTACCATTAGGAAGCATCATCACCTTTCCCAGTTCCCTTTTTACTGGCGAGGGAAACTCTGTGGTACTGTGACACCAGGACACTTCTGTCTTAAATCAGAAGGATCTTAACAAACAGCTTGAGAGGTGAACCCTGGCCTGGGTCACTGTGTCCCTCACAAGGGCACACAGTTGCTGTCAGCGTGATCAGGACTGGCCTTGCACATGTGACAGGAAACATCTCTCCTCCTGAGGGGCTGCTGAAGGAGTGCACACAGCCCATGTTCTGTGTAAACCTTCGACACAAGACACAGAAATGCTCCACTGGTGTCACAGAAGTATCCTGACAGATAACAAGGAAATGCTGTGCCAGCGGACACAGGAACAACCTTA